ATTCTCACCCGAGGTTATTCAAGACTACTACCAGCTCACGTGGGACAACATAACCCCTATACCAGGTGATTTCAATTGGCATGCAGTCGCAGAGATCTTATTAGGGCGACAAAATGCATGGCCACTCCCCACCACCGAGTGGCACCAGATTGAGCTGATACCATCTATAGCCATCCTGTGGCTGTTTATGTGCCACAACATTGAGCTGACCTCTCACAGGACCACATTCACAGATCCCACAGCTGGATTCCTTTATCACTTGGTGCGAGGTAATAAGGTTGATCTTGCCACTCTCTGCTATAATCAGATCCATCGTGTGGGTACCTTAGGAGACAGGCACAGCTCAATGATCTTTCCAAGCCTCATCTCCGGAATATGCATAGCTGCTAGTATAAAGATTGCATCCGGGGAAGTGGTTGCCAAACCCAACCCCATCATAAAACACAGTACCTTGAAGGCTTAAGACAGAGCCAGGATAAAGCACTGGAAAAAGCAAGAAATTGAACGGTGCAGACAACAGGAAGAGTAAGGTCACGAGCACGCAGAGCAAGAGATGCCTCAAGCTCCACCACCACAGGTTGAGATAAATGCACAGTTGTGGCGCCAGATTTTCACCACCACCACAGGAACCAGCCGAGACGTACAGAATCTCTAGCAGGCTATGGGGACTTTGACGATTGAGATACATATAGCCCACCGTGACATCCGCATTTCCACTGATATGTCACGTGCTGCTCGCCAGGATGCCCAGGCAGCTAGGAGGGAGATGGAAACTATGAACTGTCGACTCAGTGTGTATGTGGGCAGGGTGGATGGCATCCAGATGAGGGTAAATGAAACTTGGGACCGTTTGGGCCGTTTGGAAACACGTGTTGAGAGAATCCATGATGAAATGACACAGCAGTCAGCACTGATGAGAGAGATCTTGGCGCGCCTACCTCTACCTCCAGCCGATAGTACTGCAGGTTCTAGCTTTCCATACACATATACATATATATGTGTATATATATATACAACCTGATACCATGTCTTGTACTCATTTTCTAAAATTTTCAAAAATTGCTTTCTTAAAGGCATGCATAATTTGAAGTTTGAAAAAGACAAAATTTGATGCATGTCAATTTGAAAAACAAGTGAAAAGCTCTTTCAAACTCAAGCAATACTAGGCAACTGAGTGAATTACTCAAATGGTCATTGAACTTTATAAAAGGTTTTCACAGGGTCATTGAACTTTAAAAATCACCCAATATATCACTTGCAAAAGGTTTACATGGAATCATTCAACTTTAAAAATTAACTAATTCATCACCGAATTTCACAAAAGATTTTTCAGATGTCACTAAATTTAGTGACTTCTGGAAACCTTTTGCAAAGTTTAGTGACCTCGTAAAAATCTTTTGTAAAATTCGGTGATGAATGCGGTGATTTTGAAAGTTCTGTGACCCCGTGAAAACCTTTTGCAAAATTCAGTGATGATTGTGTGATTTTTAAAGTTCACTGACCCGTGGAAACTTTTTGTAAAGTTCAATGACCATTTGGGTAATTTACTGCTATTCAACTACAAAACCTTTACAACTTCACATGGATCTCTTTGGACCTTTTAGAACCGCTAACTTGAGTGGTAAACATTAAACATTCGTCATTGTCGATGACTTTTCTAGATTTGCTAGGATCTTATTTTTAAATTTAAAGGATGAAGCCTTGAATGCATTTAAACACTTTTGTTCAAAGGTTAATAAAAAAGGATACACTATTACGACAATTAGAAGTGATCATGGTAGAGAATTCAATAATGTCGATTTTGATAATTTTGTAATGAAAATTGATATAAACAAAGTCTTAATGAATGTGTTACAAAAAATATTCACGCAAGCATAGGAGATGTTTTTTATTCGCACGTTTGTTCAAAGAAAAATGAGGGTTTTGTGTTTGTTGTACTTACAAAGTTTTGGCAATTAACCCTAGAGGGGCAGTAATATTGATCTATTTGAACAGGGTGATGAACATCCACAAACTTTATTCCTTCAAAAGCGATTTTTCTTGCATATCCTTTTCCTCTCTGTGAAGCAATCCAAAGCGTCCATTAATCAATCTACATAATTGTCTTAAAAAAAAAAAAGGATTAAAATCATGATTATAATAATAATTTTTTAATTTGAGTAATCTTGAATTTATACCTGCCAAGTCTTGACCCTTACTCCAGTCAATGTATTTCTCAATGAACAATTCCTCACATGTTCGTTTTCTACAACGTCGTAACCTCCATGTCCTAAGGCTCCAATGCTACATTATTTTTAATTATAAGTGAAAACATGTGTAGAAATCGAATAATTATGAGTGATTTCAATTAATAAGGTGCAGCAGGGAGGAGGAGAATAAATATACATATATATGTGTATATATATATACAACCTGATACCATGTCCCGGTGCATAAGTTATTCCTGAAATATTAATGTTGGAAGATCCAGCACTAATGGCTATGCAGTCATCACCTGTGTTGGTTTTAGTTTAGGAAAAGCCAAAAGAAAAAAAGAAACTCAATGCAAATAAAAAGGGTAAGAATTCCATAATCAAATTCAGACCCCACTGTTCAACTTACTAAATAACCTAAAATTTTGGTTCGGTTTGGTTCTCTTTAGAACCAAATCCAACTGGATCACGTCTAACCCTAAGAAAAAGAGAAATTAAATACCAGTTCCTATGAAAGAATTTTGGATTTGAACATTTGTCGAGCTAGAAACTTCTATGCCATCAGTATTAGGGCTCGTGCCAGGTGCGATTACGCGGAGATTAGAGACTAAAGCACCATTAGTTGCAGTAATTAAAACATGGACTGCCGGGCTATTTATATGTGTCAACCCACGTCAGTCTAAGACCATGGCATCTCCTGAATGTAATTGCCTGGCCATCAGCAAGCAAAGTGCAAAATTATTATTATATTTTTTGTGATTTTCATCTAATATAAAAGAAAAACAAGTGCGTAAAACAATTTTTAAATTTGAATGTCGTTTTCCATGAAATTGTGGATTATAAATATATATACTTACAGTTGGTCCCTTGCATTGTCCACCCTACATATTACAAAATTTTGGAGTTAAAACTCTTTTGTTTTAAAGTACAATTAGAATCAACATTTTAGATATTTATTGAAATTTGACTTACATTAACTGGGTTGCGGCCACCAAGATTAACCTTGGCCATTAATGGTCCCTTTCCCTGATACGATTAGCCCATTCATATTTGCAAAAATGAGCCATGCATGTAGTTGATTCCCTGCCCATTCTGTTTTCCTTGGTGCAACAACCATTCCTGATACATGAAATATATATAAAAAAGCGTTCAACTTTCATATTGGGTCGATCTAACAATAAACGACATAGATTGCTGTCTAAGATCGTGAATAGGATTCTATAATAATTTTTATTTTTGAGTATTGCATTAATTTTATTTTTAACTTCTAATATAAAATTTGGCTAAGTCCTCAAAATCTCAAAGTCAATTCTACTATTGTAATTTAATTTATAGTGTGAGTTAAATTCTTCCTGATGGTAACTGAACAAGACGATCTCTTTCCTAGTGCATGTTTGGCAAAGTTTAAAAAAATGACTTCTAAGTAAAATAAGTTTCAAAGTAATAAAGGTCAAAATTACACATAAATTAATATTTTGAAATTAACTTCTTCTTTAGTCCCAAAAAAAACCTACTTTTTTTATTTGTCAGTTAAAAAATGTGTATTTTATGTCGAAATATATTTGGAAACAACAATTTACTTAAAAAAAAGTTTAACTTTGTTCTACCACTTAATCTATATAATTTATATGTTATCTTCCAGTAAATGTCTTCATGTGTAGGCAAGATTCTTCTTCATTTTTCCTTTGTTTTTTTTTTTTTTTTTTTTTTTTTTTTTCCCGACATACTGTTGGTATTGAAATAAATAGAAGATTGCACTAATCCTATGACTAAGTGATGATAAGTAATGTTTGACCAGTATTCTAATGCCTATTGGCAAACATTTTTGTGAAACTTCGACAATTGAGATTATATCATTTCGATATTCCTCCCTTCATTCTTTAAACAAGCATTTTCATGCAATTTCTTTGCTAAAATAACATAATTTACTATGTTAATTAATTAAACTTTAATTAGTATATGAATACACAGATTAGCAGTATTTTTTTCTTTTTTAATTTTTTCATAAATTGACCACATTACATGGTCCGTTACGTTAATAACAAAAGAAGAAAACTGTTCTAAGAGATATTAGGGCTCCGTTTGGTAGCCATTTTTTTCAAAATGTATTTTCTCTCTCTTCTTTTCAACCACACATTCTTTATTAAAATAATAATACACGTAAATCAAACACTTTTTCTTATTTCTCAACCACACATTTCACATCAATTTACTATTCTCAAATGCATTTTTATGTAAAAATGCTTATCAAACACCCTCTAGGTGTAAGTGCTATGCCCTAACTCCAATCGATTTAGGTTGTAAATACTTTTAATATGTTTAATGCATTTAATTTTGGCAAGATCTATTGCTTATTTAAATTTATATTCTTATGAATGATATTAAATAATAGAGTCCGTAGATTCAAGTTTTAGTAATTTGTTAATCATAAGTAGCTGTGATTGTGATATACAAATTACTTGTGATTGAATATTAAATAATCCATGGTCGTAAGTATTAACGTGATACGGATAGACCATCATGTATGACATTTCTTACTTATGAAGTAAGTAGCTGATTTTACAAGCTAAAGTTTAATGACACTTAAATGAGCACATGAATATTTTGTTATAGAATAAAATATTGGAGACCCACTAAGAGATTCCACATGGATAATTATTTGAGTATCAGTGGTTAATCTCTAACATTCGGCAATGGAATTGGTCCTTTGACTTGAAGTCATCATAGTGTCTTATATGAGGACAATCATATTTTGGCGATGTTGAAAGGCTGCTAATATGACATCGTTCGAGTATGTCAAAAATCATATGAAGGTTGTGAATGATATTAGGAAATTATGATCTACATTTCATTCAGTTAAATCGATAACGAAATCCTTGGCCAAAGTGTACTAAAAAATCGAAGAGGAATTTTCGACTTATATTGACTTAATAGTGGAATGAAAGATATGATTGATAAGCAGGATTGACACATTTTCATATCTCGTAATTGATCGAATCATATTGACGAAGGGATTATAATTTCACAGTAAACAAACGAATTTGGTTTTGTCATACCACTTGACATTTCACGTCACATGTATTGCCCTAACACATTGCTAGATGTCAATTTCTGACAACGAATGTGAATTAGTGATAAATTAAAAGGGTATATTAATTTATCAATTTTGATTATATCAAAATAATAATTCACGTCGTTAAGTATCGTGATTGGAAACCTGATGGGTCGCACACAAAAGGGAAACTAAAAGATTGTGATTTATCAATTAATTAATTTAACAAGCGTTGGATAAATTAATTAATTGTGTTGCTTATCTATAGGCCTGAATTAATAAATTTGATTGTGTTGATTGATTAATTCATGGACCGGATTTGGTTAAATGAGTTAATTAATAAATGAGTTAATTAAATATTGGACTGGGTCAGGAGAAAAGCCAAGCCCGTTTGGATTTATATAAATAGGTAGCTAAGGTTTAGAATTTGTGGAGAATTTTATTTTCTTGCTAGTACAAGAGGAGAAAATCCTAGTTTTCTACAATTTTGTTTTTTGTGTAAAATTCTATTGAAAATTAGACAATTGAACAGTTGTGGGTAGCAGATCAAGGTTGCTGGAACAAAAGAAAAGCAAAGGAGTTTGCAGATTTCGTAAAAGGCATAATTTCTATCACAATTTTTATCTAAATACAAAGCAAATCCTTGATGAGAATTGAAATTTCATTTATTTTTCCCTATGCATGATAAGTAAATTCCCAATATACGGTACAATGTAAAAATTTGAGATTACCAGAATATATAGCCGAGATGACTTGCATGGACCATTAAATGTCAAGGGCTTCAACTTAAAAGTCTTCTTTGGGGGTATCTAGAGAGTAGGATTTGTGGATTTAGGCTGGCAGACGGCTTTCCATGCCTTCACAAAAGCCTGGAAAATATACACATAACAAATATGTTATTTACTCAAATTCTTGAAAAACAAATAACTTTTATCACATCATTTTAATAAGTCTCTCAAATTTTAAGCAATGTTCTAAGCCTCTATTCGGGAATGATTATTAATAACTATTTAGGAATTTCTTAAGAGGAATAATGGTGTGGATCACGAAATGTATGGATGATAACAAGTTGTAATTTTGAATACGTGATTGAAATTAAATTTTAGCTTTGACTAGATAGTGGAAGTCCTAAAAATATTTCTCAAACATGGGCTAAATGTATGTGTTGATTTTACAGTAGTGGAGTGGAAATACACCATGGTCCTTTTTTTTTTTTTTAGCTTCTTATAATATTTGACTAATATGGACTTAGCATGTTTGATTTTGCTTCTTTTGTAGAAGTCAGAGTATTTTTGGTATCTTTACTCTTGATACTTGGTCCAAAAAGAAGCCAAATTAAGCTCTTCTTTCTCACTTTTAAGCTAAGCCAAACATGCTAAACATAACTCGCTTCGTAGATTGAGAAAATCATTCCATTAAGTACTTTTTTTTTTTTTTTTTTATAGTTCAAGTGTCATTCTCGTGTTAATCATGTATGATTTTTATGTAATTTAACTTATTAAACAGGTCTTCTGAGTTCTTAAACATAGTAGTATCTCGTGGATAAAAGGTAAGAAAAATATGCAGAAGTAGGAATTACTTGGGAGTCATAAGCTCTTCCACTTCCAACAGCCCCATAACTCATCGCATTGAAACTAGTTGTAGCTCCCAACACAGATGTGGCCATGCATAATACCAACAATAGGATCAAGCGTTCCTGCAATTTTTGTGTGTATTAAAAGGATAAATCCTACATCGATTATAGATAAAACAAACAATCAACATATAAATTTTAGCAAAATTGATCTTTGAAGGTGGACCTTCAAGACCCAATATGATTTTAGAGTCTTTGAACGAGCCGTTAAATTTTAAAATTGGGACAAATGAGTCACCATCTTAAAGGAACATATTAAACACGGAACTCCAAAACCCAATAGAATATATATACATTACATGTATTAGACAGGGAACTCACCATTGTATCATAGACCATGAGAATCGAGCTCAGTTGAAATATAAGTTGACAAAATTTTCCAATTTTACATCAAACAAGATTATCAAAAGCTTAGGGTTGAGATTTTTTTCTATAAATATGATCTAGAATCGATGAATGGTGTAAACTCCACTCAATGTTTCTCTAGAAATATGTATCCATTCTTTGATACACACATTTAATGTGAAAAATAGATGGGTGCGACTCTCTTATAGTATTAATGTGTTCATTTGTGAAAAATAGATGGATAATTTGAATTTATATGCACAATATTCTTAACGTAACTTAAGTTCTTGAGGAAACTTCAACACCAATTATTGTAGTTATCGAAAGTAGTAGTTGAAAACAGAAGATTAAGCACGTTATTATGGTCTATGGCTTTGCTTCTTCCTTGTCTAATTTTATGGTCTAAAATACTTGCAAACAAAAAGGACAAAATCAATTGACTAATCGTACAAAAATATATTGTTATCATTATTTTATTTTTTAGATCGTCGCCATCGTTGTTGTTGTTTACTGTAGCCCAAAGGCAAAGCCCTTGTTTGAGCCCCATTTTGGAGTATAGAATGAATTTTTGAATAGCGTATTGATGTGAAATGTGTGGTTAAAAAATAATAAAAAGTTTTAGATGTCTGTGTAATATTATTTTATTGAAAAATGTGTGATTGAAATAATGTCAAAACATTGTTGAAAAATGCATTTTTATCAAAGAATGGGGATCAAACAAGGGCAAAATGGGAGGGCAATTGAAACCCGAAGTTGAATCGAAATTAGTCTAACCTATATTGGACCGTCAGCATAGTCGACTCGATTTATTAAAAGAAATTGTGCTATTATGGATGTTTAGTGACGTTATTATTTAATAATATGGGAATCATTATATTCGTGTTCAAGGCGCAGGATGCAAACTCAACTTGTACGGTAACGCATGCTTTTTTCTTCACGAATACACTAGGAAATATATACCTAATCAAAATTTACTTAAATATTCTACAAGTTACATTTTTATTTTTTTTTATTTTTAATCTCTACGCATGTGATGTGACATTACATTCTGTAATGCAACATCCTCAATAGAATAGAAGACACTATCGAAATATGTTTCGTACTCGAGAGACCCTCCGCATCCCCCGGGGGAGGAAAAACATGTGTAGAATTGGGGATAATGTTATTCACTTATTTGATTTATATTTTTTACAATTTTAAAAATATTGAAAATGTTAGAAATGAACCGACTTTTATTATTATTATTATTATTATTATTATTATTATTATTATTATTATTATTA